GTGTGTGTGTATGTGTGTGTGTGTGTGTGTGTGTATGTATGTATGTATGTATGTGGGCGTTAAGTAAATACGTTTGTGTAAGTGAGGTTTTGTTTGTGTGAGTGAATGAGCCTGTGTTTATGTGAGAATGTGCGTGTATGGCTGAGCGTAAGGGTAGGTGGGGGGGGGGGGATTTATGGGATTTAGTCGTTCAGCATGTGGTACCAAAAAAGGAGCGATTGTTTTTCGTGAGCAACGATTAGTTAAAATTAAAATAGTAAGAAATAGGTGTGTTCGTGGTTAGATACTTTTTTTTCTTTTAAAGTGAAGCCTTGAAACGCAAGAGTATGACAAATGGGTTAAGAAAGTTCGTTGACCCCAAAGCATATTCCAAAACAAAATTTCTAAAAATAAAATGGAGGCGGATTCCTTGTTTTTCTCAAAATTTACGCAGCTCATTTCATCGCTCTCCCATGCCAATGTTCCAACTAGGGGCGACGTGTGGTATGTAGAGCTGACCGCCACCCTACCCTCATAAAGTCTCTCTTTTTTATGGTCCGTTTTCTCAAAACACGATTTTTCTACCTACTTGAAAAACATGTTCATCCAATCTTCATGAAACTTTCACAGGATGAAGAGAAGATATAACACTATACGACGTGTATTGAATTTTCAATATATTATTCAATATATTTTTAGTGGTGGTGTCTGGTGGAGTGCGGACTTTGATATTTTTTTTGCAACTTTGAATACCACCTCAAGAAAAAAATCAGTTAAACATGTTCTTATTCGTTTCGCAAAATTTCAGCAAATCGTTTTGTAGGACTATTGTTTGCTAACATGCATGCAAAATAACAACCCATTTCCATTTATAATTGAAGTACCGGTATTATCTGTATAAGATATATCAACAAAGTCCAATATGGCTATCTTATTACAGATATGAAGACTCTCAACTATGCTTGTTTATATAAATACATGTATATACATATATATATATATATATATATATATATATATATATATATACACACTGTGTCAAATACTAATTACAGAAATTAAGAGTCTGGCTGGGGTGAGACTGGAAAAGGGGAGACTGAAGGGGTGGGTGAGGTGGATGGTATTGGGTTAGCCCAAGACTGTCACTACTGTCAGCTGAACGAGGTACCTCTCTCTTTGTAAAAATTTCCCGAGGGCTCTCGTGGCCTTGAGGTTAAGGTGTTCGCCTCTCGTTCAAAGGTCCTGGGTTCGAATCCGGGTAGCGACCGAAAACTTTTCTCTAAAATTGTCTCCTTTCACCTTCTTTTCTGCCCTCTAGCAATCTTCTGTCGTCTGCTTTCGTCTCAAAGAGCTTAAAACTACTTTTAATCTCCTTGTTTCGTCTCTACTTTCTGCCCCCTCCCTCTCACCTCCTTTACCCCCCTCTTCTGGGCTCCCGACTCTCTCTCTCTCTCTCTCTCTCTCTCTCTCTCTCTCTCTCTCTCTCTCTCTCTCTCTCTCTCTCTCTCTCTCTCTCTCTTTCTTTTTTTTTCTCTCTCTCTGCAGCCTTTCTGCTGTTACTCCCTGGCTCCTTCTTACTACTGTTCTTCAACCACACCCCTGATCTTTTGGCAGGAAAGATCTACACCTAGCCTTCTCGGACAAGGGCGAAAAATCTCGGAGGGCCCGTGTGCAAGTTGCTCACGTTAAAGAACCCTTGAAGGTCGAAAAGAGTAGGCTTCGCCCGCCACCCAGGCAAAATTCAAAATTTCTTAACAACCGAAAAGGTTTAATGTGTCCCGCGCGCTCATATGACCTTATGCAGTTGCGAGCGCAGTAAAACACTTGCCCCCCAAAAAATTAATTACAAATTTGTCCCTCTATATTCTCACTGGGCGGTTAAATGGGCTGATTCATCAATGTCACACTCATAACTGTGCTTGATCTGCAACATGGAACTGCTGCTTTTTCTTTCCTAATCCTTACTATTGTCATTTTCCCCCTACTTGTTTGGTATGTTTGTCACACTCTTGTGACCCGCTATTTTCAGGGTGCCTTGATAGTCGAAGCAGACTTTGTGCTGTTGAAGCTAGAGAGGTAAGCAGAGTAAGTCTGATTACCTGTAAGAACTTCTATGTTGACATCCATCCCTTGGCGCTCATATGACCTTATGCAGTAGCCAGCCTTCACTAGGTTGTACTCCTTTCTCAATCAAAATGTCTTTCATGAAGGACTGATTCTTCTTTTTCTTCTTCTATCCCGTGGTTGGGGCAACCGTTGGGGCACTACTGCATTGGAAAACCAGCTCTCG